CCCGTACGTCGTGCTCTGTGGCTTACGATTTGCATTTGAGCTGTGTTCCATTTTTTATGCATTTTTTGCATCTGTGCACTGCAACACGCCTGTTGTCGAGGGGTTATGTTTGTGTGCGCATGCGGAAGCGTGCGTTCGTGTGGTGTGTGTGTGTGTGTGTGTGTGTGTGTGTGTAATGTCTGTTTGAGTTTTCCGATCGCAAGACCTAACAAAACTGTAAAGCTGAAATTTTGCCAACTTAGTCTTACCTTTGTACACGACCCTGGGCGTAAATTGAGCGTCCACGCCTTTCTGGTATTCACGTGAGGACGCATGAAAAATTTTTTGACACGAAACCGAGTTGGGGAACCAGGCAAACTAGAAGGCGGAAAATTTGGGAAGATTTTTCTTAGCCCACATGTGATTCAAAGGTTTAGACGTAGTCTTCATGCACTCCTAGATCTCATGTATTTACACGTCGAATTTGAAATTGACATCATGCTAACTCGAGAATTAAATCGAATAGGGAGTTGAACAGAGCTCTAATTTTTTGCGTGACACATTAACATCGTGAAAACAGATCATTACGACGTGCAGCAAGCTAGCTTCTGCGATCATGCTTTTTTGCAGTATTTCGTGCTGTAATAAGACCGCTTGGATTGCTAGAATTTGTGACATACTGGTCCTCGAAATTCAGAAAGTTGATTGTGCAACTACATGATACTTGGCCAGGGAACATCCCCTCAGAATTTCAGCTTCCCAGCTTCTTCGGTTCCCGAGTTAGTGACTTTCCTGCCAAAACTTTTATGCGCTCGTACACGTGGTCCAGACGCGTGTGAAAGTTGGTATTGCGGCCTTGAGGCGGCACTTGGCCGGGGACCCGCTGTCAAAATTTTGGCGTCAGAGCTTTCTAGGTTGCCGGGTTGAAATACTCTGATAGACCCCTCCTCCCCTCCTCCCCCTCTCCCTCCTCCTCCCCACACACACACACACCCACGCCCACTCACACACACGCTACCACAGTGTGCGTTTTCACAATTGCGTATACGCAAAAATGCATAAAAATGGTAATACAGAATCCGAATTAAATTCATATTTCTATTCACTCAGCTAGAAGTGCTGTCTTAAAATGCTGTGTTACTTGGCAACATCTTAGGGAAGCAGTGCGAAAGACGCTTGATTTCATCGATGGTTCTCACCGCTACTGTTTGTGCTTTGATTAAAGCGACCTAATATCTAAATCATTTGTACTCTTCTGAGGGAACTTCGAAGAGGCATTGAAGTTTTCATTTCCAGGCGGAAGGAGTGCACAGGCGTTTAGAAGAACTGTTAGCGCTCATTCAAGGCGAGTATGCACCTGAGGCGAATGCTTTATCAGCGCAAATTGAAGCTATTCGTGCCTCATTTTTCCAGCTCGAATGCGATCGAATTAAAGAAAAGTAAAGCAGATTTTGACGTTCTGGCACGTGCACTTTACTGATATTTACGATGATTCGGTGCATTTTTAGCAGCACATCCTTTTTCCTTCCGGGTTAAAGCGGACAGAGGTAAAATAGAAAGATGCGCAAAAAACAGAAATAAGCCTTTGTATACCGCTGCGAAGAATAAGTGTTCTACTTTTTCATTTTCATTTATTCATGAAGGTGAAATCTTTAATAAGAACGTATTCATTGTTTGCGACTTGCTAGCGATCAACCGATGTGTCGATGACATTCCCGTACTGGGAAACATCCTCAGAAAAATGCCGCTTGATGA